TATAGAACCCTTACTGGAACATAAAGAACCCTTACCAGAACATACAGAACCCTTACTGGAACAAACAGAACCCTTACCAGAACATATAGAACCCTTACTGGAACATACAGAACCCTTACTGGAACATATAGAACCCTTACTGGAACACATAGAACCCTTACTGGAACACATAGAACCCTTACTGGCACATACAGAACCCTTACCAGAACATACAGAACCCTTACTGGAACAAACAGAACCCTTACCAGAACATATAGAACCCTTACTGGAACATATAGAACCCTTACTGGAACATATAGAACCCTTCCTGGCACATATAGAACCCTTCCTGGCACATATAGAACCCTTACTGGAACACATAGAACCCTTACTGGAACACATAGAACCCTTACTGGAACACATAGAACCCTTACTGGAACACATAGAACCCTTACTGGAACATACAGAACCCTTACTGGAACATATAGAACCCTTCCTGGCACATATAGAACCCTTACTGGAACATACAGAACCCTTCCTGGCACATATAGAACCCTTACTGGAACACATAGAACCCTTACTGGAACACATAGAACCCTTACTGGAACACATAGAACCCTTACTGGAACACATAGAACCCTTACTGGAACATACAGAACCCTTACTGGAACATACAGAACCCTTACTGGAACACATAGAACCCTTACTGGAACACATAGAACCCTTACTGGAACATACTGAACCCTTACTGGAACACATAGAACCCTTCCTGGAACATATAGAACCCTTCCTGGCACATATAGAACCCTTACTGGAACATAAAGAACCCTTACCAGAACATAAAGAACCCTTACTGGAACAAACAGAACCCTTACTGGAACATATAGAACCCTTACTGGAACACATAGAACCCTTACCAGAACATAAAGAACCCTTTATGGAACATATAGAACCCTTACAGGAACATACAGAACCCTTACTTGAACATATAGAACCCTTATTGGAACACATAGAACCCTTACCAGAACAGGGGCGGTCGGGTAGCCTAATGGTTAAAGCGTTCGCTCGTCACGCCGAAGACCCGGGTTCGATTCCCGACATGGGTACAATGTGTGAAGCCCATTTCTGGTGTCCCCCGCCATGATATTGCTGGAATATTGCTAAAAGCGGCGTAAAATCAAACTCACTCACTCACTCACTTACCAGAACATAAAGAACCCTTACTGGAACATACAGTACCCTAACTGGAACAAACTGAACCCTTACCAGAACATATAGAACCCTTACTGGAACATGTAGAACCCTTACTGGAACACATAGAACCCTTACCAGAACATATAGAACCCTTTCTGGAACATATAGAACCCTTACTGGAACATATAGAACCCTTACTGGAACAAACTGAACCCATCCCAGAACATATAGACCCCTTACTGGAACACATAGAACCCTTACCAGAACATATAGAACCCTTTCTGGAACATATAGAACCCTTACTGGAACATATAGAACCCTTACCAGAACATATAGAACCCTTACCGGAACATGAAGAACCCTTACTGGAACACATAGAACCCTCACCAGAACATATAGAACCCTTACCGGAACATATACAACCCTTACCAGAACATATAGAACCCTTACTGGAACATATAGAATTCTTACCAGATCATATAGAACCCTTACCAGAACATATTGAACCCTTACTGGAACATATAGAACCCTTACTGGAACATGTAGAACCCTTACTGGAACAAACTGAACCCATCCCAGAACATATAGAACCCTTACTGGAACATATAGAACCCTTACTGGAACATATAGAACCCTTACCAGAACATATAGAACCCTTACCGGAACATGAAGAACCCTTACTGGAACACATAGAACCCTCACCAGAACATATAGAACCCTTACCGGAACATATACAACCCTTACCAGAACATATAGAACCCTTACTGGAACATATAGAATTCTTACCAGATCATATAGAACCCTTACCAGAACATATTGAACCCTTACTGGAACATATAGAACCCTTACCAGAACACATGGAACCCTTACTGGAACATATAGAACCCTTACCAGAACATATAGAACCCTTACTGGAACATATAGAATTCTTACCAGAACATATAGAACCCTTACCAGAACATATTGAACCCTTACTGGAACATATAAAACCCTCACCAGAACATATAGAACCCTTACTGAAACATACAGAACCCTTACTGGAACGTATAGAACACCTCAAGGAACATATAGAACTCAATACATCACAATAATTCTTAGCTATCTGCCCTATTTTTACTTGCATATCTGTATTTGTCAGTTTCAGTCGACCTCTCTGTTTTAACACTATATGATTATGACCTTGCATGAATGTGCCTGCTTCCGAAACAAATACCACCAACCAGACCCCCCCACATTGCCCTCTATTTCTTTCATTAACAAACAGGAACAGAACACGGTAGTGGTGGAACCATGCACATCTACGTCTTGTGATCTCTCTTGATGCTATCAGAACCCAAGCAGAACAGACTTGCTGAACTCATCCTAAACTAATCAAGTCTTCCAGAGCAGCCCCAGAGCAGCCAGAGCAGCCCCAGAGCCTCCACCTGACCTACGTGCCAGACTCACTCCGGCTGACCATGAAGAGCCTCAGTCAGATGCTGATACTGACATTTAATACCAGCATGCACCATTATTTCCCAGCTGCACCAGCCTGTCTGTTCCACCGTACAAAATGCTGTGCAAATGTTTATATTTTCAGAGAAATCATGTTTCGTATTTACCAGCTGTGGGATATATACACTGATCCATATTGACGGCACAGAGGAATTATTTTGAAAATGTCTTCCTGTGTCATTCCTCAGTACTTAACTATGTGTGAAACATGTTTATCTAGTACATATCAAATTGTGTTGTTCTGCAAATCAAAATTCTTCACATACGATTTTTTCTAAAGCTGATTTTCAAAATGTTGATAGTTTCCTCTCATCTGCAACTGAAGTTTTTCCAAAGATTCCATCACTCTTAAAGTGTACTAAGGCACACATGTGTTATTATATATCAGTCATTAAAAACATTTATTGAAACCTGAAATATGTATGACAATATCTTTAAGAACCTTAACTTATCAGAATTTCAATAACACTTCCTACTTGGAATGATTAGTTCGTTTTTTGATTCCATTAGTCTTTCTGCCAAGAAAAGTCTCCCCTTGTTCAACTGACGACAGCGTAGCAAAACTTTGGTTAATTGCTATAGAATATGAAAAGTACAATAATACCAGCATACCAACGCTACACACAGCAATGAACTGGCACATTACTGGAAAAAACAATTTTGATTTTCCACAGTATTAAGTCAACTTTCCATCACTAAAATGTTTCCTCATGCAGCTTATGATAATTGGATATTCACATAGTTTTATTGTACACATAGTTGGTATAGTCTGTTTTCCACACCCCAGAGAATAAATTAATAACTCAATCAAACGATGATTTTGTAAGTTAATGAAATTAAGCATTGTTCTGGGCTCCATATGGATTTTAGTTCACATTTCGTAGGTAAATATTTCTTAATTTGATAACTTTATTTCTGGGACTAAATGTTAGCATGGGTACAAAACAGTTGTGTGTGTGAATATGTACAGAAGTCAACCCCACCCCACATCCCACCCCCCTCCATCCCCACCCCTTCTCCATCCCAACCCCCACTTCTGTCCCGACCTGACCCTGCAACTCCACTGCTGGAGTCATCTACCTCCCCTCCCCTCCCAAGAACTGCCTGCTTGTCAAACTGACATGTGCCACATGCCTCTCAATCCAGTATGTGATAACCAGGCAATGATATCCCGCCTCCAGCACCATCTGATAACAGGACATATTCACCACCTAGTTGATAAGCCTGTATCTACCTGCCTACTGGCTGCTAACTCTATTATCTCCCACTAAATTCACCGGGGTTATACATCTCTGCTCGTAATTGGCTTCAGCTCTTCCCCTCTGGCAACAAGTTCAGCTGATGGAATCACCCACTGATAAGGAACAGGTCTAAACTTAGGGAATTTCATTTAAACATTGCGAACTTTTTCAAAATGAATATAGAATCTCCTTTCGTTGTCAAAATGAAGACTATCATGAGTTTCTCAACACATCATAAATGTATTAAACACACAATTAATTCTTCACATAGTGCTCAACTTCTGATTGGGATACACAGCTATTTCATTGTATTAACATATAACAAGTACACCAAGCCACACCTTCACCTTGGTTTAAGGACGTTTGTGCCCCAAAATAATTTTGGTTGGGAAAGCAATAAATTAAAAAAATCTTCAAATATTTCCCAGTTAAATAAACTACCGTATATCGATCTTATAGAAAATACTATAAGCATTCTTTGTCAGCTATTGTGAAGGGAAGTTAAATTATGTAAAAGTACAGAGTTAATGCCCATTTCAATAATCTCAGCAACAGTGCAGTAAATCGGTGATAATCTTGCAACGATTCATAAAGAGTTATGGCAGGAAACTTTACTTCAACTTTTGATGCTGATGACAGTTTTACTTTTTTAATCCACTTAACTGTGGAATCAGGGCGGAATCAGAAATAAAATAATGCTGATGTTTCATTTTAATTTTACTTGTACTTTCTCAGAATTATAGGGTCAATGAATCCATAAACTATGATACAAATCACATGGTCTTAGGTTGGTGCGTCACGGAATAACAGGAAAGTTGAGAGGTATATTGTGAGAAATGAGTTCTTGTTATCATGTAAGTACCATTATGCGTCATCAAACCTGGCTACCGAGAAGCCAAAAACACTACTTGCATCATCTGGAAATGTATGGAAATATCTGCTTTTTCAATACCCATAAAATGTCAGTTTTCACACACAATTTCCAAGACACGGTCTATCACTGTCAGTAACTATTGACAACATGTAAATCAAGTACGAGCAATCATTGTTAGTTTCCCATACATGAAAGTAACAGAGTCTATTTCTGCTTACCCTTGGGTTGCCTCTTGGCTGTGTAGACATGGATGTCCATTGGAGAGTATATTTCTTCGTGGACAGTCCACTGTTGTTGGCCAGTGAGTTTGTTGCACTTGTGGATTGATCTCGTCTGCCAATCCGTCCAGTATAGCGTTTTCTCGTACAGAGTCAAAGCGAAAGGGTGAGGGAGTTCGCCGGCAATAACCTCCTGACGATTTGATCCGTCAAAATCACATCGATGAATAAAGCTTAATTTGGCGTCTGCCCAGTATATTTTGGAATCATCGTAGTCAAGTGTCAAACCATTTGGCCAGAAAATATTTTCTTTTATTATTTCTGTTCTACTCCACTTGCTTCCGTCCATTCCAGCACGCTCTATCTTCGGGTTCTCACCCCAGTCTGTCCAGTACATGTACCTGAAATAACAAACAAGGCATTTAGTCATCAAAGATGTTTATGGTACATAGAACACTATCCCAGACAGGCATATGATGAGGTGAAATGAGGTTAAAGCTACGTTCAAAATGATTGCACTTATATAGCAACATGCATGCACGTGTATTTGGCTGCTTGTACTGGTCCGGACTAATGCCGATTTAATAGTGCTTACCCGACGAGATACCATGCCGTATTTAACATGCATACCCCACTCAGACACAGTATATTGACTCTAAGCAGACCAGTCCTTGTTTTAGCTCCTTAATGCCGAGCCCCAGGTAGGGTAATAACAAGTACCATCTTTTTTAACGTCTTTGGTATGACGTAGCCACAGGGATTGAACCCCTGACCTTTCACTCTCCAGGCAGACGCTGTACCACTTGACCACAGAGTCATAGTCAACACGGATACAACCATATTTCACATACCGTATTCGACGTAATAAGCGCCCCGCTCTAAGAAGCGCCCACGGCGATATTTGCGGATATATTGGCTAGTGAACAATGCCAATTAGCACCCCTTCCGATTGATCAATGTACACAAGACTTATTTATTCGCGTATAATACACACTCATGTGTTATATGTACCCTTAGTTATGAGCAATTAAATTCTGGAAAAATATATCTGTCGTACATAAACAGTCAGGCTGTCAGCATAAACCACGAAATATATCTTTCAACTCTGTTTTTTTCACCAAAATAATATTCTAATAAGAGCCCCCCATTTCTAATTTTGAGAGCGCCCTGGGCGCTTATTACGTCGAATACGGTATACTAGTTCCAGTTGTAGGAGGACCAATCTCTGTTACATTTAATTTACACTTAGCTTAAGTTGACCTGAAATAACACGCAAGACATTTATTCCTCAACAATGTTTATGGAACTCTATCCACAGACTGGGCCACAGCCACATATCACATACACTTGTTCCAGCAGGAAGACCAATCTCTATTGCATTTAATCTACATTTAATTTAAATTTCTAAAAAAAATTTAAATTTACTGTTATTTTCAAATATTCTCCACCTCAACCCCCATTTGAAGCAGGGGAGTCAGTGAGTGTCACTTAGTTGCAATACGATGTGGGTCTTGACATGTCATGGAAACATTCTCATCTTCAACGAAAGATTTGTAAATTTCAATTATTTGATAAAACAATGTCCTGAGATCCCTTGTACAGCAGAAAATATTATTTTACAATGTGTGTTCACACCATTATTACTTGTATTGTTTTCTGTTGTCACTTGACCTTCAAATACAATATTCGTATCCTGGCACGGGCATGGAGATGCACTGAACGACAGATGAATCTTTTCATCTGTTCTCTCATATGTATGAGTGAAGTCACCTGGACTAATATTGCAGTACAGGCTGTACCTACAGTGAGTGAGTGAGTGAGTGAGTGAGTGAGTGAGTGAGGTCAGTGAGTGAGTGAGTCAGTGAGTGAGCGAGCGAGCGAGCGAGACATCTTGTGCTACTTGAATACATCCTCTAAACACTGTATCAAGCATAGAACCAACCATTGTTCAGCATCACCATTTGTTTTGTCTGTTGTCTATCACTGCACGCAGCAATATTCAAACTATGTAGCCATCCGTAAATAATCAAGTCTGGACCAGACAATCCAGTGATTGACACCAGAAGCATCGATCCACACCATCAAAATGAGTGAGATTAGAGGACATGCATCAACCAAGTCACCGAGCCTGACCACCCGCGCATACTGGTTCATACGACAAGCATAGGTTGCTTGAGCTGGAGACGTAAACTCCTACCCAGAATCCCAACAAGTTTCAACACAAGGGAATGCATTAACCACGAAGCTACACACTGCCCTCAAGTCGAAAACCTGTTTTCCCTCCCCCTCCCTCCTCTTGTTGATGCACTGAATTAACATTAGAGTAATTGCTCCATCCATCGCGGTAACATTTTTAAACAAAGCTTTTCTTCCGCAGTGTTGACGTGGTGTTGTAAACCCAGACATCACGTCAGCAGTGCAGATGAAGCAGACTTAACATTGTAACCTTACAGAGTAAAAACAACACATTCAAACAAAGAGTTATCATATTTCAAACCTTTTCTCATTTTGTACTTTCATGTGCATATGACGACAGTTTGCCGTGGGACTAAATCTGTACAAAATGGAAAAATAAACCCACGATTCATGTTCATACTTCCTCTTTTAAAATAGATTCATATATAATCTCATGCAAATTTCAACGCATATTTCCTTTTTCACAAAGTATCATGAAATGGATCCAGAGCATGGTAGCGCAAGCTATACCATAAATTTAATGCATTCGAATGAGATATTTAAGTCCCAGGAAATAGAAGTTCGTCTGTTGAATCCAGATATTCATGCAGCCTGACAGAGCAGAGATTAATCTCACGATGAAATACATTTCAATGATATCCCATGGTGCAATGTGTGGCTTAGTGACCCGCCTGATGTAAACACAAGTGTGTATTGTGTCTCACTCCATACAGAATTTCAACCGTGACGAAGCAACTGAACAAGCTGAAGAATTATTGTCCTCCAGCAAGAAAAAGATTTCTTTAATGTTGACATCAGCTCACAGACAGCTTGTCACCCGTGTCCTGTAATCACCTAGCATATCATGCTGAATCATGACGGTATTCATGTGCGTTCAGGTGTGTCTACACACCGTGGACAGCACCAGCACTCCCCTCCCGAAAACAATCACAACCGGAGCAGTATTGATTTCCTGTCAGATGTCGTAATGGCAAACAAATTTCACAATACAAGTTTTGTTTTAAATTTAAAGCCAGCATGGCCTCTGTCTCACAAGTACCAAAAGCATCATAGGATCTTTAAATAACAAATTGTTCAGTTTGTTGAAATACTGAACTAGGAGATTATTTGAGTTCCAGAAACTTAAGTCTGCCATTGGTGAGAGTCCTTTCATTTCCAAACATCTAATGAATCCTCCTCACAATGGAAGTGAACTTGGGTTTACACTAAGTCTACATTACAAGCCTCTAAAATATAAAGTTTCTATGTCAAAGTGCTCAGAAGATGGACTGCTACAATGAGGCGGAACAAAAAACGTTTATGTTTTTTCTTTCTTAAAAATTTGCCCTCATCCTGGCAATAATGTGGTGTGACTTGTGTTTCAACCTGTGTGTCCACATCTCTCGGCAACAATGTTCTACTGACAGATACAAATGTTGATGGCATCGCAACTTTACGCTACACTAAACTCTGTCAAGTCCCGTTAAGCAAGACTGAGTTTTCTGACGTTCACTTTTTCAGTACCGTAATTCCCTCTGACAATGCACAATCCTGGCCATGTCATAACTTACCATGTCACCAGCATCTATCTACAATACTACCTATGTCATAACTTACCATGTCACCAGCATCTATCTACAATACTACCTATGTCATAACTTACTATGTCACCAGCATCTATCTACAATACTACCTATGTCATAGCTTACTATGTCACTAGCATCTATCTACAATACTACCTATGTCATAGCTTACTATGTCATCAGCATCTATCTACAATACTACCTATGTCATAACTTAATATATCACCAGCATCTATCTACAATACTACCTATGTCATAACTTACTATATCACCAGCATCTAGCTACAATTCTACCTATGTCATAACTTAATATATCACCAGCATCTATCTACAATACTACCTATGTCATAACTTACTATATCACCAGCATCTATCTACACTCCTGCCCATGTCATCATAACTAACTTTATCACAAGAATACATCTACAATCCTGCCTATGCCATAACTTACTCACAAGCACATATCAACATATCTGTGTTGAAGCAGCACTCTCACTCACTCACTCACTCACTCACTCACTCACTCACTCATACACTCACTCACTCACTCACTCAAGTTTAGTCCCCAGCAACCTATGCTGGTCGTAAGATGTGACTTAATGCCAAACCAGATCTTCATGGATTGGAAGAAAAACAGAGATATGAATGTGAATACCCAAAGGCATCTCCTAATTTACAAAAATCTATTTTTCTTCAGATCCAATTGCGCAACTCTGCAACAAAGATGCAACTACTTTTTTTTTAACAGACATTTCTCAAAGAATCAATTTTCACTTCTATAAAATTAGACAATAGTTCTTATGATAAGGAATTCAGGGTTGGAAATATTTCACCAAAGCATTACGTTTTTACCACAGGAGAAGGGAATTTGGAGTAGGCAATATTTCAACAAAACATTCAGTTTTTACCACAGTGGTATGTGTTATTTCAACAAAAAATTAGTCTTTTACCGATCTCTACGGTACCTGCGAGTCTGTTGGTGATTATGGTTTTTGTGTTTACTGGCAGGAGCAGCGTCTGGGGAGGACGCTGTGTCTGCCGCACCAACTGGAAACTAATGGCAGACTCGATGGGTCATGTGACACAAAATGACTGACTGATAGCTGCATGAAGGATATATGACTGCAAAAATGTGATACACATGTTGGTAGTTGGCGATAGAGCCAATACCCTTCCCAGCATGCATTGGTCATATTGTTACAGCTCTATTGCTGTCTGCTCAGCTATGATTGACAATATGAATAACAGTTTGTGTGGTTTGTAAACATCAGAATGAAATCCTTGCCACTATTCGAATACCCTTTCCTTCTTGACTTCTTGAGTTGAGTTGAGTTGAGTTGAGTTGAGTTGAGTTGAGTTGAGTTGAGTTGATTTGAGTTGAAGTGAGGTGAGGACTGGGTGAGTTGGGTTTAACACTTCTTTGAGAAGTATTTCACAGCGAGTCAGCTTGATGTGGCAGAAATGCCTGATAGGATGCAGATCTTAGAAGTGTACCACTTCGGCGAAAGTCATGTGTACCACTTCGGTGAAGCCACAAGCTTGGTGATAGCCACCAGCTCGGTTATCATGTTGACAAAAACCTAGAAACACTCAGGGCAAACCGGGAATCAAACCCACAATCATAGGCTTCTTGCACACCTGGG